ATCTTATGTCTCTTGTGGTGCCTTATTTTTATTCAACAGAATTACAATCATCCAACTGCCTTAAAACAGCAGGGCGATCCGTTTATTGTAACTGAGTATGAGTTACTGATCATTGTCTGTTTGTACTTTTAGGAAAATGAAGACTTCAATGATTATCTCAAGAGGCTGTCTTCTGATTGCCACCTGGTTGACACCAATCAGTCAGAAGACACACAGCTGTTTCTTGTGATTGACAGCAAAGTCATTTTTGAATTGTCCTCTTATATTGATGACCTTTTTTCTTTAATTACTTGTCATCATGTATTCACCTTAGAATACCCAAAGCAAACAAAATTGTGTTTTTAGTTTTTTGAAGAATATGTCTTTGGCATGATACAGTCCCGAAAAACACAGCAGTATCGTATTGGTATGGCAAAAGTGATGAGTTGAATTGAATGTGCTGAATCAACTTAAATGATAATTATAATGTATGAACTTGCCAGTGGGTAGTGATGTTTTAACTTAGGTTTTGCATTTGCATTGTTGCCACAGGTCAAGAAACGGTCTGGAAAAATTTAAGTCTTTGAGAGAAGTTAGGGCAAAGTGAAATTTTAAGGGTATTAATTTATTTATTGCCAGCTCAGCGATGTTTTTGTGTAGACAAGGATTCGAGCTGTCAATGTCAAGGTGATTAAAACAAAAATTTTATTCACATATATAGTCATTTGAATGAATGAAATCATTTGAGTGAATGATATCATACACATCGTTTTTTTGACTGGTGGTCGCAAGTCACCAGTGAAAACATTCAACAATTTTATACGGACCTACAAACCCACTCAAGCACCATCAACCCCTAAGCTTGGCTTTGTTGCTTCATTTATAAATGTAACGTAAATGAACAATCTTTACTCCTCTCGCTGTATAAGATAGAACTTCGAGAACACATAATGACTGAAAGGTACATTGCAATAAAAAACAACTGCCAAGCTCTTTAATGAGAAATGGAAATGCCTTATATTAAAAGATTCTGTTCCAGAAATTTTGCCACCACCAACGCCTCAATAGGACAAATTAATTTACTTACTTTGTGTCAATGTTGTCATGGTTTCAAATTTCTAATCAGTAGTGCCTTGCATTAATTACCAACGAGCCAGCCGAGCGAAGAACGCGAGGTTGGCGAGGCGGCAGCATTATAGAGCCGCGCGAGGTTGAGGCAGGCGCAAAAAATCTCGAGTGATCCGGAGAGATGTAAGTAATGTAAGATTTTATGACGTAATGCCAAAGAGACCTATTGTCCTCCAATGGACCAATCGTAGTGCGTTAACTTGGAATGGACCAATCATAGTGCGTTTAACTTGGAATGGACCAATCATATTGCGTTGCGTCAACTTTGTCACGTCACAGCAGCATGGTTATCTGGGTCAATTGTTCAACTGCATTCGCATCTCGTCGAGCTGCATCTCGTTAGTGGGAAAGGAAGAGTTTATAGAGGTAAGAAACCT